CAGTTTTGGCCGGCTGATGGCTTTGGGTTGAGATCCAGCATCTTGGTGTGCAGGGCTTTACCATGTCCGAAGCGTGGATTCTATGTTGGAATGACGTTGTGGAACAAACAGGAAGGGCTTGTAAGCAACAAGTAGAGGCCTTTGGAACAAAAGAGCACCACGTGTTTCATGCCCATGAGGAGGCAAGGTAGACATCGAATGGCATCCATGGACATCTGTTCTTGGTCATCTTGGGGATCCATGCCATACTCTGAGTCAACACCTAGTATACGAACCACGTCTGGTTGCTTTTTTCGCTCAATTCTTCACGGGTCCCAGCCTGCGCACAGGGGTATTCTCAGTGGGCACCCGGCGCCAACGGCCCTTCTCCGGGCTGAAGACCTTGAGAAGCGAGGGTTTGGTTCGGTCTCAAATGATCTACCTTCCAAATGGCAGCGGTCGGACACACCTTCGCAGGGCTCCGTACCCGAACCAAACCCTATGTATGGATTCGGGCCCGGATTCTTAGGAGGTGCTTCTCAGCTGTGAGGGTCTTCCTTCGTTCATGGAGGCCTCTCATGGGCTGGTTGCACCTGTAGGCCACTCTTGCCCCAGTTTGTGGGTCTGTAAATGTCTTTAACCTCGACTCTAGAAGTCCAGTTCGACTATACTTTGACCGACTGAAGTAAAGGAAACTCTTGAACTCGGGTCATTTAGGTGACCATTCTTTATTCGTCTTTGACTCCCAGGGTCTATATAATCACCTGTTCTTCTTCCAACCCCAGCTCTTCGGGTGCTCCAGCTGTACTGGTGCGACGGTGCGCCGAAGCAGATGCTGCGACCCAGCCAGCCACTGTGGGGGCGCCATTGAAGATCCATATTGAAGTTTATTGAAGTTGGAACTTCTTGGATTTCTCCAGAACATATGACTTTCGAAAGGGATGCTCCGATGGAGGCCTGGGGCCTCCCCTTCCTCGGGCGCAATCTCTGAAATCAATGCTTGGTTCAGGCCTGTTCGTTTCTGAGGAGCCAACCCACAGGTCATCCCTAGGCACAACGTGCGAGACGTGAGAGTGACAACGAGGATTCAGGAGAAGTCCGGAGACGCGATGGAACACGTCAGCAACCTGGCCTTTTGGAGACCAAAAGCCAATACAAAGATTGCAAAGTACTTAATGTTGGAGCCTGATTAGTAAAGGGCCCCCCCCATTTACTAATCAGGATCGCACATTAGTTGGGAAACCACTCAAACGACTACCCCAAACGCTCCGTCGTTGACGCCCGATCAGAACCCCCTCGACCCCTCCAGATTCAGGTCCGAAGGGTTCGCGTCTGGGCTGAAAAGGGACACCTTGCACCTGCCATGAACGAAGAACACATTCTTGCCCTTGCCTTCCCATTCCCTAGCTGTACAGTGGTTGCACAGTTCTGATATTTTCTACTCAAACGCCCGCAACGCAGCAGGTTTGCCCAACCAAATCTTGCACATTTCAGCCCGACGAAGTGGAAGTGAACCAGTTGCCGTAGCAATTCCAAGAGCGTGGGTTGCACATCCCCTTTAGAAGCCAAGCACTCAAATCGCCGGCGCCGGCGTTTTGAAAGCGCCTTCATACTCACTGCGTCAAACAGCTTCCGTCTCCCAGTGGTCTACCACCCGTCCGTGACCCGTCCTCGAAAACTTCACGGAGGTCTTCGTGCAGCCACCCATCAGCACCAGCTGGCCTCGCGACGAGTCCGCGGGAGCCGCAGGCGAAGGGCGGGAATCGGGGAAGGTTGGGGCACCGTCCGTTGGGCACGTCCGTTGGAACATGTTGGAACATCATAGGCACATAGGGCACAATGCCAGGTGCACTCCCGGGACCCATGGAAGTGGAGTGATTTCAGCAGCTGTCTGGTGAGACCGCATTGAACATGGTCATCCAGTTTTGTGGGGCCGTTTGCCATCCACGTTGGCCTCACATGTCGGTCGTTGTGAAAGGGACGACAAACGGTTTCATCCGAAGGGGCATGTGGCTTCGAAGAAAACCTGATTGACCTCAGCTCATGGGGGTTGACATCTATCTTGCAGGAGTGGACCGGGATGTATGCTAATATATCCATGCACCGGATTATTTAGCGTTATTTATTTAGTTGGTGTTCTGCTATTCCTGAAGCTTTACACATCAAATACATAAATTCGATCACAAGATTGTCTAGATCGCAACAAATCCTGCAGAATGACACCTGACCGCAAAGCTTTGTTTCAAGGAAGGTCACGCTTCCAACTTGCCCTCTGCACTTCCATGTTTGCATTTGCCCAAGATCTTTCTTGTCTGTTGGAGGCCATCGCTAGTCCATCCCTAGTAGGTTGGAGAACCTATAAACAAAGGATGTGTCCCGCCAACCGAACCAGCTGTTACGGGCTCCAGGCTGTTATTGTAGACAGGAGTGGCGCCCTCCTTCCTTGGAGGCGTGTCCAAATCGGAAGTCCAAAGACACCAAATGTTCAAACCAAGAAACCTCAAACCTGCAGGTTTTTGCAGTCACCTGGGATATACGATCCAGTAGTGGACTTCTATTTGCTGGACGTGAGAGGCTAGCTCAACTCCGCGACTGGCCACCCCGCCTATGCGTACTTAAGTCACCATCACAACCCACCCTTACAAATGAGATCTCTTCATGAGATTAGCCATATTTAGCCATAAGACGGCTGTGCTTTCTTTTGAAATGGTTAATTTTCTTTAATTGAGGGCTACCACTGTGACATCCAGTCTTCTGCAATACAAACAGCTGTCTCTGGCCATGGGTCCAGCCACGCAGGATGAGCAATGACTGCTTGACAAAGAGATTTTGGAACATTGAGCATTCCTGTGCATTTCTAGCAATTTCCAACATTTGATTGAAGGACCTCGGACCTAATGGACTAAAGGTGAATAGTGGAGCAGGTGCTTTGAGGCTTCTTGAGCAGGTGCCAGCCACATTGGTGGACTGCTTGGTTGTTCGGCTCCTTTCGCTGGCACTCCTCCGTTGCCGATGGTCAGCCTCCAACGGCTGGTCAGCCACTGGCCATCACAGAGTCTGACTTGGTCAGCCTCCAAAAAGTTCGACAGGAACAGGAGGGTTGCAGGATAGGTGTTTCTTGGCTCAGCAGGGAAGTCTGGGTCTCTTGTGGTGTAACTGAGATCCCTCACAGTCCAGTCATGACTACTAGGCGGGGTAGTTGAAGGGACGGAAGTTCAGGGAATCATGGGAAAATCATTGAAAGATTGGAACTACTAGGAGCAATGTTCGCTACGAACGGGGCGCTCCTGGCATTACTACGTCATAGGAACCAGGAAGGCTACGAACGTACCGTCGTGCATCGCTGCTCCGCTCCTGGCACCCTTTTGGATCGACCACCGGGCGCCCACCCCTTTGGATCGCGTCCTGTGCCCCCCCACCAGCGACCCTCAGGTCCCTCCTCACCGTAATCGATGGGAAACCTCGGGGAAGAGCGGCATTTTCGGGGCCGGAGGGGGAGAACGGAGGTGCAGATGCTCCTGGCATCGCGACAAAAAGGAACAAGACAGCTCCCTGACACCTTGGGAGTGGACGTTGGAGTGAGTTCACCACGGTCGCCTGTTCGACCGGATGGATTTTTGGTCCATGCCGTTTGCCATCAACGTTGGCCCATAATTCTTTCAGGTATTGGGATTGGGTGAGGAAACGAGTAAAGAGTTGAGACGTGGGTGGAATTCTTGCGATTGGCGAGAAAGAGAGGCCACACCCCAGCGATTTCCCATGACATCTTTATAGTCAACATGAGTCAACCATCCTTGGCTTTTGACCCGAACAATTTCAAAAGCTACCCTCGGCCACCGCTCTCCTCAGTGGACAACTGTGACCAGGTCCCTTAGTGCACCAAACATGACCCTGAAACTCAAGCACAGGACTTCAAGAAGCACATGCCCCAAAGAGGTTGGCGTTCTGTTGAGAAACATGGAAGGAACATGTCCGTTTTGGTCCGCTTTGGGGGGGCAGCGGACTGGGCAGCGGCTGTTGCTCTTCCAATCGGTGCCGGGATCGAGGGCGTGCGGCATCGTTCGCTCAAGCCGACTAGGCTCACGGTCGAGTTGCCACCATAATATATCAGCTGGCTGGCAGTTTCAAGTGCCCAAATCCATTTAAATGCACACATTCACCAGATTGAATCCACTTCTCTTCCCTGACAACTCTGATTTTCTGAGGACAACTACCATCATTCCTCAGCTGAATCGGTTCCTTTCTCCCCCCTCCAGAAACCGATTCCGTGCCGCATGGCCAAGTCTTGGTCTCGAGATGAAAGCGCCACATGTCTGAGAGCATGGTGACCTCAGCTGCACCAAAACACTCTTTGCATTCCTTGATCAACGGGTCGTGCGTGGTTTCCTTGTGATCAACCACGGAGCCAAAACATGAAGAACGAAACGACGCCATGGGAGTCTTTGTTGCGGACAATTCATCGCTATTAGGTTGGAGGCCAACGAGCCGCCGTAGGAGTTTTTGTCTTTTTTTCGCAGAGTGGCCGAGATCGGCGCCCAACTCGACCACCTGTGTCTCGGATTCCAGCGCCCCTTTTGTTCCTTTGCTACACGCCCGTGTCTCAGCTCTATGCCTTTACTCTGGGCACAAGAGGCTCTGCGCAGCATTGTTGGGTCAAAGGCATTTCCAAGCAAAGAACAGCTACTCCGAGATGCACCACATGCTTGACAATGGAAACAACCGCTAGCCACCTTCGGCTACCTTGGGGCCGTTTCCGGTGCCGCGCTTGGAGAATTCTCTTCTCGGGCCGAGCCATCAGCTTTGGGTAGGCTTGGGTATGTGTGGAGTGGTCTTGGCCTGCCATTCAGGCAATTATTGGCACCAGAAGCAAGTTCTTCTCAACCTTGCCGTTGTGATGGTTCATATCATGGCAAACAACCCCAGCTGCCTCAACCAAGCCAACCAACCCTCCACTGTCTTCAACTCCCACAACTCGCTCCGGCGGAGCTTCAGCTCCGCCGCTCCCTCAACGGCCCGGTCGGTCAGCTTCCGATCCACGTGCCGCTGGGCTCCGGGATCTTCGCCGCCTCCGGCGCACGGAGGATCACGGCGTCGCGGCCCTCGGCCGCCGCGAACTTCGCCTCCACCTCGGCCTCAGACGCGCGAACTTCGCGATCGAAACACATCCCGATCGCGAGGTGGCGAGGTGTAGAGGTGAATGTAGAGGAAGACGGAGATTGATCAAGGGGCCAGAAGAGGGGTGCATGAGCAGTGTTTTTTGACAGTTCTTGGGACGTGATGTTGAGGAGACTTTGGAGGGATAAAGCTTCACTTGGCCAAGGCTTGATTCTTCGAACCTCACTGCAAGAACATCTACGCCACAGGTGACGGAGGCAGTGACAAGGACCAGGAATGATGGCGATGACAGTGATGGACCGCGATGTGAAATACGATGAAGACATATTAGTCATGAGTGGACGAGAGTGAGAGTGAGTCGGAGGTGGAGTGAGTGCGCGGACGGTGGAGGACGCTCCAGGACGGTGGAGGTGACACGCGGGAGGACTAGACGGGCAGGATGCAAACAAAAGTAGTATGAACCTGACACAAAAATGTGGGGAACTAGTGACCTGCAGGTTGAAGACCAGTGTATCAGATTTGCCAGTAGCTCAATCTCGAAAACACACAACCCCCCCAGGTTGACCCGGGCGAACGCGGCGAACGCGGCAGAACGCAGAGGCACCAGGGCATTGGTCATGGCCCGTTTGATCTTCGCCCTGGCATGTCACCAGGGGAGTGCAGGGGACCAAAAGCAGTGTGTTCAAATAGGGAGACCTCCCAGGCATTCCGACCCCCTGGAGGGTTCGGAAAATAGACCACAACCCATTGATGGGTACACACCCACATATAAACTGTATAGACATGGTTACGTGGATGGCAGGGGATGTCGGATGACTGTGTGACATCCGTTTTTTCAAACAGGCGGCGAACTCACTCCACTTCCCTGATTGTTCCAGGGAGTCCCAAATAAATTACTTAAGTTTTATATAGAGATTGAGACAATTAGATTACTTGCATACAATACACATCAAACATTTATAACAGTATAACATCAAGTATACGTAGTCTACTACTACTCCCCCGCAGATTAACATGGAACCCCAAAACCACTGGGTTGGTATTCGGAAAATGGTCGACCACCGGTCAATTCTCAGGTTCCATGTATAGTATAACATAGTACAACACAATATACACATGAAAACATCACATCAAATACGGGGTCAATACGGAGTCTAACTGTCTTATTTCCAAGGTTCATTCTTTTGACCAAACACGAGTCTCTAAGGGTTGAGAAATGGGCCGCCCGAACCCGGTCCTCAACACACAGGTCCTACCTCGGGGGTCCTGCCCACCTCGTCTGGACGGAGCCCATCCAACATAAGCAGGTGACACGGGGAGACTTCGCTTGTCCAGACGCGCGGATTCCGAACTGCCAAAACCCTCCAAGAACTGTCAAAGGTGTTGGTTGGACCCAGCAAGAAGAGGCATTGGTTGGACCCGCCCCCAAAACGAATCTGCGAAACATCAAGCGCTTGATTGCAAATGGGCATCTTCCCCATTCACAAGAACTGCGAAACCTGGTCAATCCAAGTCCGGGCAAGTCCCTCATCGCATCTTCCCATGTCTTCCTGTGTCTTCCTCATCTCATGGGAGCGGAGCGCCTCCCATCCTCATCACACTTGGTCTTCCTCAATCGCGCCATGACCTGCCATCCCAGCGGTCCCAACACACGTCCATTCCGAGGCGGAGCGGAGGACTCCCCGGATCCACTTGGGCTCCGGTTCGATCAATCCTACTCTCTACGAATAAAGGGGTGGTAAGGATGCTAGCAAGGTATCTTCACAACAACAAGCCTGCATCCTGACACCTAACAACCCTAAGCCTCACGGTATGCATCTGTCTCTTAACTGGACATGTGTTTTGGGTCAAAAGAGACGAACACAAGACCTTGCAATCAAACTTGCACACTTGAGTCACCTCAGCTCAAAACCTCACCCAGGAACTGAGCAGGAGCTTATGAGTCTATGACGGATGCTGTGTCGGCACAATTTGTGTGAAAATAGAACATATGACGTGCCACACGATGGCTGAAACACAGCTTGCCACAAAAAGGGCAATGCACTTGACCCACAATACAACATGACAAAGTAGAACATGGATTGAATAAACAAGAATTCCAGAACAAACAACCTCCTACCCAATATGCAGAGAAGAAGGAAACGAAGAGGGAGAAGAAGAATGACCAAAATACACATAAGAATTACGAGGAGAATGCAAAGGAGAAAGAAAAAGCAAGCATCATGGAACCAGAATAGGACTTTTGGAACATTATTTTTGGTCTTCCCTTGACAGAGATGAAGAGTTCCCCCAACAAATGCCTGTTGATAGTGGCTGTTCTGTGGCATGTTGCAGGGTGTCTACGGTGTCTAGTTACTTCATTTGACTGTTAAATACTCTGATGCCTACCAGTCATTTTGAACGTGATTTTTAGTACCTTTTCCCAACAACATCGTGTGCAGGGTCGTGTGTGGTCACACCTCTGGTCCGCACCCTTCAGCACCGGTCGACCGAGCGAACGCCGGTGCCTTCCGGAACTTCTCGTCACCTTCGAGTCGCAGGCTGAAGCGTTTCTGGACTGAATAGATGTCCACATGGTCATCACATGATCACATGGTGCGAAGGACGCTACTGTATTAGGTGGAGGCCATTGCAAGTAGGTTAGGCCATCGCTACTGGAACAAGACGCTACTAGAGAAATAGGAAGGATGGTTTTTTAGCAACCAGACTCATTGGCTGCGGCCTAGGGGCTCCAGTTTTCACTGCGAGAACCGAAGTAGTTTCATTCTACACAAGTCCACCAGGAAGACCCACAACCCATGGCATCTCTTTGGCAGGCAAACTCATTCCAGCTAAGCTCGAGTCTAAAAAACCAACAATCCTCCCATGTTGCTTCGTTGCCCTTCTTTCTTTCGGCTGCTTATTAGACCTTCAACCCTACGTCTTGGCCCCGCGCGCGAGTAGGTCTTCAGGAGCTCTGGGGAGAGCCCCGTGGTTTGGCAGGTCCCACAAGGCTTGTAGCCCGTGGCCTCGAGAATCCACCGGTGGGCGGATCGGATCGGCGTTCGAACCACACGCCTGTGGGACGGGTGTCGGCTAGCTCTGTCTTCGAATGACCGGCTCAGGACTGCCGATCAGGCCAGGGGTGGTGCCAGGGGGGTCAATTGATCGGCATATATGGCAGTCCCATGGAGTATCTGGGATAAAACCATATAGAAAACCTGATAAAACCACTCAAAGCAGCCTAGCTGTTGGTCCAACCAGAACCACAAGAGTTCCTTCATACATTCCTATACTTCCTCAACTGAAGAACTGATCCATCTTTTGAGGAGCAAACTAACACGTCTGCCACCAATTTCATCGTTTCCCACCGGCAACAGGCCACTTCAACCCTCCAAGTCGGCCCACGTCTCCACGTTCCCAGTCCTCACACTCGCTACAGTCCCGGAACCGCGTGGGGTCCTCAATCCTCGGAACATCTGCGATCCGAAGAAGGGCCGTTCCGTCCGGCGCGGAAGCGGCGCGTCCGGCGCGTCTGGGCCCTTCGTGTTTTGTTGGGGTTTTGTGCTGGTCGGGAGGTCCTGAATGCTCTTTCGTCGACTCTGAGTCGACGGAGGTTTGGATTTTTTCGGCGCCACGGGCAGCGCGAAAGCGACCGCTGGACCGTTTCGGTGTGAACCTATTCTTTTGAAAGGCCTCCTCACAACACCGCGGGCAAGCAACTCACTGAGGTTTTCAGAAGCAGGTGTTAACATGTGTTTACTGTCTGGACCTGTCTTGGAGGACACTTAAACGCACAGCCAAGGAACTCGGTCATCTTCTTGCTGCCGCCACACCTGGAGCATGCGCAGCACGTCAAGCGCAGGTGTCCACTGGAGCATGTGCTTTCAATTGGATCCATTTTGGAACACCCCCAACCAAGGACACGATCTCAAGTAGACATATTATGATTCTTATATATATATATATCATCAAAGTATATTGCACACACTTCTTACAGCTAACTGAACAAATAGCCTCCCCAAGTCATACTGGAAAAAAACACCACGGTCAAATTATAGAAAACACCCTTAGCTTAGCAACAGCGTGTCCGGGTGCACAACCATCTGCGACTGTAGCATATTTTTCAAATCAGCAAAGCATGAAAAAACAGTGGTGTCAAACCAAGTCAAGCCACAAAAAATGGTAACACCATCTACCACAAAAGCACTTGTTTCCAGTGGAGCTGCTTTGCTCGCGAAAAAGGGTCACCCGTGCGGGCCCGTCTCTGTGTGTTCTAAGCACAAGGTCTGTGGGACAGAGGATCATCTGCGCACACAGAATCAGGATCATTTGCACACACAGAGTGGGATTGGTGGGTCGGGATGGTGTGGGGATGTGTTCTGCGTCCAAGCAAACTCGAGCAAATAGCTTTTATGGGGTGGGGATGAACGTGCTCTACCCAAACTAGAAACTCTTCGACCGCAGCCGGCCTCTTGCAAAGCAAGAAACCGCGTGTACCACCGATCCAGGGTTCACCGCTAGTTTCCAACCGAACCCTCTGGTCTGTGGCCTCCAACAAACGAGAATCCCCTCTCCTTGGCAATAGATGCCTTGGATCGCGAAGGAAATTTCCGAGCAGAAGATGACACCGATCAATCGATGGAACGAGCTCCAGGTCGTTTGGGTGCTGTAAACCTGGACCTGGTAAACATGGACCATGCCATTGCCTTGGACATATACAGCGTGATCCGAATTGTCACGAACAGGTGGGACCCTGTCAGACAGGTGGGACCGACCATTCCACCCTGCAGTGCTTCTTGCAGCATGAGGATGAACTGCCTCAAACCGAACTCTGCATTTGGGCTACTGTCCAGAATCGCTGGCTTGGTACCCGAAGCATTTCGGGCACAGAATTGATCTCCACCCAGCCAAATTGACATCTAAGATGTGAATTTGGCTGGGTGAGGATCAATTCCGTGCTGGGAAGAGGTGTCACGGGGCCGGTTCCAAAGACACGTGCACACGATTGCGGCCATCCCTCCCCTCCCTGCCAAAAAAAGTCGACCAAGGCCATGGGTAAGGCCATCTAATGTAGACAGTTCAAGAATAACTACCCATAATAACCCCCCGCATAGCCCTTCTGGAGATCCTGGAATTAATCAACCAACGTAACCAAGGCCCTAGGTCTTCGTATAGGTCATGTACATGTACTTCTGTTGGATCTGGGACCGTGTGCCTTGGTCTGACCGACCGAGTCCCCGCCCCAAGAGATCTCTTCACGTGACATTTCTTCGGGTCCTGCTTGGGCATGTCCTTGGTGATACGGCTTCTTCCGGATCGACGCTCTGTTCGAAAGGGTCCGGTCCGCCCGGTAGCCATGGACCACCAACTCCAGGGCCGGAGTAGACCAGGCTTTCCCGCAAACGGGTCTGTCTTGAACCGGTGAGTTTGACACGGGACCCACGTCGTTTTTGAGTCCGTTTCTTTTGCGACCGTGCAAGCGGTGAATGAACATCGCTAGTAGGTTGGAGGCCATCGCTAGTAGGTGCCCTGTCTGGAGACCTAGGGTTGTCCATTGGTGACCCGTTTCCCAGCAGCTGGTACATGCCTCACAAGGGAAGGGAGCTGACCTGCATTCCTCTGCTCCCAAGTCTGTCGTCCCAAGCCATTTCACCTTTCCTGGGTCGCCTTCAGAACTCAGCAACTCCAAGCACCACTCGCAGCAAAGGGTCTGGCAGAACTCACTTAAGTCAACTCGGAGAGCTCAGCTCGGTCCATCCCGAGTGGACCAGGAACTGGACAAAAAACAGCAACAAACACATCCCAGGACCTGTCGGGGTGCCCTGTCTGGAAGCCTATATATCGGTAGTGTGGGGTAGTCCAGCCAAGACACCCAGGTCCAGGAGGGTCCAGGTCCGTGTTCTTGACACGACAGATCACCCGACATCGACGATCTGGTGGCGACAGTTCTGGAGACCACGAGACCGACGCGACGGTGCACCTGTACCGACATGACGGTTTCTGTCCACCAGGAGTCACAGTCGACACGGTGGGGTTTAGACCGTTGAGTCCCATGAAAAGTGAGTGGATCATGGGCATTCCTAACCACCCCTTGGTGACTGCTGGTAGATCTTCCATGTGTTTCCTTTTCTCCGGCACCACGGTGACTGCTGGTGTTAGCCCCGAACCCATCGGGGTGTCCATTCGCCAGTTCTGGCTCGTGCCCTTCGTTCAAATGGCGGTCAAAACCGGGAGCCCCTGGGTTTTTCCCACGGAACATGAACGGAATAGACATGAATAGACTATTACTATAGTAGCAAGGACGCTACTAGGGGCTCCTGGCCTTACTACGAACGGAGCAAAGATGCTACTACTAGACATGGTCAACCGGCCTCCGGTGCCATCACCCACATGACCCTTCGCACGAATCACTCGCACCAAGCATCGGTACCCTTCACTGTGCCGTAGTCGCTCTCCGCGCTCGCAGCGCGGCGGAGCGCTAAGGAGGCACTCAAGCCGGTGAGGGCCTCAAGACGACTCGTTTGGGAGCGCTCGCGTCCAGAGCGCGGCTTTTCACATGGCACCCAGGTTGTTGGGTGATGTGCTTCGCTTTTCGTTTTGGGTGGGTGATTGGTTTCCTCCCTGAGGCGCGTTTGGTTCCCAAGCAATGCTTTGTTTCGATGTCTGCACAGTGCCAAGCAACGCTTGGAAAGACATCCGTGCCTCAAGAAGAAGCCACACACAGACGAACACGCTTCATGTAAACCTGGATTCAACATGATTCATGACTAACCTGACTAACATTCGAACAGGTGTTCCAACACGGATTCCAACTTCCCTTCCCATTCCCGACACATCCCGCGCCTGCAGAAAGCCTCGTCGTGGGCCCGAACCTGCAGAAAGCGCACGCAGAAGGATTGCGCATTGCGACAGGGGCACTGGAGCACCTGTGGGGCCCTGTGGGGTGGAAGAACTCTTCTCAGGGGTCCATGAGAGATCTACTTTAAAGATCCTGAATGCCAATTGGTGGTCCAACTGGTGTCTATTGACCAAAGTGTTGTCAGTGTTGTCCAACTGGTGAAGTTAGAAGATGCGGAACTGTAGCCCCTTTGACATGTGACACTGAATTCCAACACATTCTATATATAACAGACATAACTCGACAAATCGGCCTCGTTCTTCACTCTACAAATGCCACACGCTGTATAATTATGTATGTCTTTAATAGTGTAATTTCCCCTATATGGACATCAAGTGGCTATGCTAGCTAGAAACAACCACAACGCTTCTTTGGATAGCAGTACTCGAGTCTTTGATTTAAGGTCATCCAACTACCTCGCTGGCGCACCCCTCGGTACCCGCACTTTCCGCTCTCAGGTCCTCTCTCGCCGATCTCGCCTGGCGACAAACGTGGGGTTTGGATGAGGTTGAGGCGATGTGGCGAAACCTCTGGTCTTCTTGGTCGCCATCCATCATGGCACCTGGGCACCCTGGTGGACCCCTGAAAATTGAGACTACTAGACTGGTCAAGCTGCCAGGGATACCAGGGATTAGGGGTCTGGGTGCCATGACCCACAGCTATGTGTATTTAGTGTTTCAAGATCTTTTGCTAAACAACTGGCCTTGCAAGAGAGCCACATGGAACCTGACAAATGATGGAAAAGAAATCTGCACGCGAACCTCTGTCATGCTGAGAACAAAGCAACACGTGGAAAATCAGATGTCAATTTGGAAGAGGATGTTCCCAGTTCCCTACCATCGCCAGCATCTGGGCGCGTTCCGATCAGGGTTCTCCAGGCATCGCTTTCCCTTCAACCGGGCCGTCTTGGAAGGCCCAGGGCCCCTCCGACTTCCTGGTGCCTGCCTTTTTCCGCCGTAGGCGTCGTGCATGCGCGCAGAAACCCCTCCACGTGGGCAAAATGGAGGTATGGGCCGCGGCCGTTTTTTTCTGTCTCAAAGGCAGTGCATAGCAAAAGCACTGAACACTTCGGCAGCTTCGGTCTCTCCTCACAAATGGTTGAGAGGCATTGCATAGGTTTGGCAAAGCGTGAAAACGAGATGTCAAACGATCAATCCCAGACACTCCATGTCAATCTATCGACCCCTCAAACCACCCCAATGTAGGTAAATATGGAGTGTCTGGGAATTGGATTGAACATGATTGAACTTTCCACCCTCTCCGTTCATTTTGGGATCAATTCCAGTGGTTCTAAGGGCTGCAGTAACCCATGCTTTTCCATAAATCCAAAAGGACATGTGCGACAAAAAACAAGACAACAAAACTAACAAATAAAGCACAACCAAGTCAAAAAAAAACACACACAACAAATCACCAATAAAAAACATCAAAACATCTTTCAAGAAACTCGGTCCTCTTCGTCCTCTTCGTCGTGGGAGACCGGCTCCTTCCACCCCTCGGTCTCGTCCTCGGTCTCGTCCTCGACCTCAAAGGCCGTCGCCGTCCTCGTCGGCGACTCCCAGGATGTAGGGCGCCCGTCCTCCTCGCTGCTCCGGCGGCTTCGCGGAGAAGCTCCAGCGCCAGATGAACAAGGCGCACCTTGGAGATCAAGCTCCGGCGCACGTGGTCAGTCCGTTGGAGCCGCCCAGTTGGTCTTCTTTGGGGCACAAATGGGAGAACTTTGGGACAGCGTCTACCAAAAATGAATACCTTGGTGTTCGGGTGGATGGGTCCAAAAGGAAGCAAGTGACCGTGCTATACCTTTGTGGCACCTTGCGAAGCCTGGATCTTCGAAACGGCACAAAAAATTGCATGTTCAAGAACAAATGCCCGTCACGTCGTCTTTTCCACAAGACGACGTTTTTGGTGACCAGGCGGAAACCAAGAAACCAAAAAAGACACGTCGTTTTTGGGGCTTCCAAACAGCATATCTTTTGGCGTCCAAACGGCGTCTTTCCCCGCCCATGGATTTTGAGCACATGTTTGCAACCCCTAAAACGTCATTCTGGTTGATTATGGTGTCTTTTCACAGAAAAATGCATCCGGCAAACATGTGCCGTTTGAAGATCTAGGTGATCATTGGTCAATGTCAAACTGAGCCCAGTATGGACAGTGGATGCTGTTTCAACTAGTCATCCAAGCTATGTTGTTTGGTGTCAACCAACCCCACAAGACAGAATGAATCAAATTTACCGAATTTGTCCACTTCTCTCATCACATCTTATCACCTGACCTCCCTATAGGTATGCATCTTCACCAAGCCAATCTTCAGTACACTGGACTCGGCTCAAGGTGGCCGAAGAACATCAGGAGCAATGCTGCCGCTGCTCGAAGGTCCAGATCTACGTGGATCGAGGTCCAAGTCTTTGGCTCCTCTATTCTTTCACCTCAGGTGGTCCAAACCCTTCGCCGATGGCATGATCCTGAACGAAGGAGAGGGGAACGTTCCAGGAAGGTGTCACTTTCTTGAACAATTGGGGCACTCTTTGCCCAACTGCCAAATTGTCTCATACATTCTAATTTCGATCCCACAAAGTCACAGGGACCCCTCACTCCTTCAAGTTCCGACACCTGGGAAGACTTCCCCACTTTCTGCCCCACCTTCTTCCACCACTTCCGCCGCTCGCGCCACCGTGGAGCCCGCCGTCTCCGTCGAGCCCGCGAGACCCCGCAGCACCAGCAGCCGCGCGCCGCCGGCGAAGTTGGGCCGCGTGGTGAACTGTCGCACGCCCGTGTCGCAGCTGCTCGGCAGCGCGTCGCGGACGTTGACATCGGCGGACCAAGTCGTGCACGGAACCGGCGCTACACCATCCTCGTGGGTGTGTCCTGGGGAGAACCTACTGCGTGGTGGAGGCGGCAGAAAAATGCGCTGGAGGCGCGCATCCGCTGATCTGTTGAGTTTGAATCTGTCAATGTCTGACCGGAATCTAGTTAAATGCTTGTCACATTTGCCTCCCCATGTTTGAAATGACCATGAACAGTCCACCAGATCCACATGAACAGCTCCACACTAACAGGATCTAACAGGCTTCTTCCTATGAGACCTCTGTCCTGTCAAGATCGCCAGCAGGTGCCTCCGCTCCGCCGTCCGCTGCACTTCTCGGATGAACCGTGACACCAGCGGAGGTGCTTCCGAGGGCCAGGGTAATCGGCCCTCCAAGGCGGCATTCTGGTCACTGCCTACAGGGACCATGGATCAGGATCCTCAAGGGGTGGTAGACATGGACACCCCGAATCACAGCCAAGGGGCTATAAATAGCCACCACTTGGAGGGTCCTGGTATTCTAATGTATCTTCCAATCCCATTCGATACATGGAAGTGGGCCTAACTGTTTTTTTGGAAGACGATTTTCTTCTAGTTTCAGTTTCAGGAAGTGTGTGTAAAGTTTAAAAATATAGATTAAGATTTAGTAAATCGATAACCAATATTCATTACATTATCATAGTACTATATTCATCATATTCTCCACCAAGAATCTTCTCGTGTGCAAGGAAAAGAAGTGAAACTCACTATGTTTCACTCTTTCTATCTCTTTCACTCGAATCCGTGTCGAGGTTCGAAACCTGTTGAAAAGACAGCAACTGCCGGGTGATCTCTCGACATCCTCTCCATCCTCTCCATCGCTGCTCCCGTCGTCGACATCGTTCGTCGTCCAAACGGTGCCTGTGCCCCACTCAGGATGGCCCATGACATCGGATGGGCCCCAGCGAACGCCCGGAAAGTAGATGGGGATGTGCATCAGAAGCACAAAGCGTTCCGTTGAGTTCCTGAGTGGCGAAGTTCTGAAAGCTTTTTAAAATTGGATTGTTTCCTTTCTTTGGGACCCATTGCTACTAGGGTGGAGGCCATCGCTATTAGGTTGGAGGCCATCGCTACTAGGGAGGAGTTCTTTCTTTTCTTTGGGACCCATCTCTGTGGATCGGAACGATTTTGTGCAAATCCATCCATTCGGAACGAGTCTCCAATGTGACTGTCGGTGGCTGTGACCTAACCTGACCATGACAGTGAAACCGTGACCTGGCAGAACGGACCATGACACTCACGTAGAAAGGACCATCAGTCCTGTTCTAGCGTGTTCAATTGCAAATTCAACCTGGCTATTCCATTCTCCTCTGTTTCTCAAACTTTGAACCCTCTTATTCAGAACTGGAAACAGATCTCTCTCTCTCTCTCTCTTCCTTTGAACTGCATAATGTAGACTCTTGATTAGTAAACCCCCCCATATGAAGAGAATGTTCCATTTCAATTTGGGTGCTTTATTCATCAAGAGTCTACATCCCTAGGGACACGATCTTGACCCTCGTTTGGAGTCGACCCTCGGACGAGAAGACGGCCCGGCGTCGTCATCTGCAGGAAGAACTGGAACTGATCCTCATCGATCAGAAAGTCGGAGTTGTCGATGCCTGATGTAGAAAGACGGTCGACAGCGCAGGCATGTCGCCAAACACGAGCCGAGGGAGTCGTTGGTCCTGTCAAACTTCGAAGACCTCCGAAGTTGAAAGGGAATACGTTGGCCTGTTCAGGACCACCAGATACCACCAGACTTTCTATCTGTAAAGCTCGCTCGATGCTCGACTCCATCCTCGTCCGAGATCGTGGATGAACCGTGGTGCTGCTGCGGGATCGAAAGCGCGAATGGGTTGAAGAATGGGGTGCGTTGAGGCGCGAATGGCTGGCCGGTCCTTCGAGCGAACGAGCGAACGAGCGAAGCCCATGTCGGGGGTCATTCCCAAAGCCAGCCTTGAAGTACCGGGTCCGACACGTCTACGCGATGTGTCACCACTTGAAGTACCGGGTCCGACACGTCACTCTCCTCGCTTCGTCCGACACACGAGAACACGAGACCTTCACTACACGAAAGGCCGCTTCAAGGCGAGGCCTTGAGGTGATTGATCCAGATCGGAAGCACCCTGACGCAGCCCTCACCTCACAGCCAAGGGCAACCAAGGGGCAAACGACCCGCAAGCCATCCAACGAAACGTAGCCGAAGCGAGGATCTGAGAAGTTGCCAGGAAGTCCTTAGCGAATCGATTGAAACATTGTGTGACACTGTGAGTGCGGCTGGGCTCTATAGTGTTCGTTTTGGGCACCTGAAAGAGAATTGAAGTGGTGTTTTGCTGTAAGACCTTTTCGCGTGTTCCTCAAACTACAGTCGTAACCCTCGAGAAAAAGTCACCAACTCAAGAGCAAATTCTGTTCTCATAAATATGTTCCTTCTCCTCGCTCAGTGCAAACAAAAAAGACTTCTCACAATGAGATCCCTATGAACTCCATGCGCAATGCTCAATCGCTTGCCACTTCTCGCATGCTCATTGCTTGCTCATGGCTCCTTTGCTGGCAGTGTAGAGCTTTTGGAGTGGTCCTCGCTCAGTTGGCCACATCTGAGCATCAAAGGTCTTTTCCCATGCCTTGGACGAAGACGAGAGTTCAAGACGGATCTTCAGAGATGATCCAGGAGTCACAAGACGGGGTGGTGAACTAGTCCCCAAGTGAGTGGATGGGCACCCCGACTTCCTCCATGGATAGCACCCTTTTGTGACTGCTGGATGAAACACGTCAGACATGGCACAGCTGCTGGATCATTCCAGGCCGATCGAGTGACGTGGAGTAGGCCGAAGTCAGAACGGAATATGCCAGGAGCTGCTACTATAGTAGCTTCTTGCTACTACTAGCGATGCACCTTGTTCCTAGTAGCTTCTTAGTTACTAGTAGTAATGGACTCCAACCTAATACCTAATAGCGATGGCCTCCAACTACTTACTAGTAGCTTCTTGTTGCTAGTAGTAAGGTGCCTTGCTACTAGTAGCGTCCTTGCTACTGGGATTGTGCTTGGCTCCCTGGCCGTGGGAAACTGAGCAGTCACCATCTCATCCACCAGTTGCTACAACTATGGAAGCCAAAAGAACATCTGACCAGCAGGAATACCCAGTGCATGAGCTCAAGTTAAGTTATGACCACATTCTTGTACCCTTTCCCTAAGAACCAAAGACCAGATCGATTCCAAGCTGCATAAAGTCTCTCGAGATGCCAATCATGATTTCCAGAGGTGTAGAGAAATGGCACTTGCAACCTACATGAGGCGCTGAGGAGGGGCTGAGGGCCACGACCTGTCCCCAACGACATGTGAACCCCTCTCTTACGTAAGGTTTGATGGTGTCCTACACTCTCATCCCACACCCACGCATGTATTTGGACAACACTGATCTCATCCCACGCAGCCAACCAACATTGCAGGCAACCAACATTCTGTGCGAAGTGGGACCTCCAAGTATTGAAAAGAAAAACGTCATAATATGGTCATGTCATATGGCATGATTCCTCAGGACTCAGTGGCTTTTTCTTTCACCACCTGCATGGGCACCATGATGCCCCATGCCAACAACAGCTTCACAATTAGCTTTCCAGTTCTCACATCACTTCTTCCACGTCTCACCACTCAAATGACACCCACCGCCGGGAAAACCCCGCCGGGAAAACCCTGCCGTTGTTACCGCCGTGACCTTCCCGAAAAACGGCCGTGCTTTTTTTAAAATACTACGGGGCCTATAGACCCTTGGCATACCTTCGCATCTGCCTTCGCAAAGCATGTTTCTGTGCAAAGGGTGCCTTCGCGGCTAAACTGGTGTTATGCGCGAAACGCCTTCACGAAACGCCTTCGCGAGCCTTTTTGGAACACGCAGAGACAGGGATGTTTTGTCTACGCAAGTTGCCTTCGCAGAAAAAAGAAGGTGCGGCACCCGGCACTGGTTCATACGGGATTTGGCTTCGCATGCCTTCGCGCCTGCACAAAACTGTGAGAATTGCGTTCGCGGGCTGTGATGCAGTTCCACTTTCATATAGACCTTTACATGACAAATGCTTCCAGCTACTAATGGTGATGCACTTGTTACTAGCGATCAAAGATATATAAAAAACACGTTGCTCACCTGGTGAGTTCGGTCAACATCTTCTCCACCGACTGCAGCGAGGGGAAATTCACCAGATCGCCGCCCAAGGTCACCAGGTCCACCTTCATCCTTCGCGAGGCCATTCGAACGACGCGCCAGCAGTGCACACGCCAGCGCATGATGCGGGCGCATGCGACGCATGCGACGCACCGAACTATATGTCGAACATATCGATCATCACGAGTTGCTCGAACATTTTGGAACAAAACGACATACCGGCATTGAAAGGACCAGTCGATTGAACGTTCCGACCCTTTTTCATAGGCCTTTTGGGCCCCGAAATCGGGTGGGCACTTTCTGGCGGTCGATGAAGAAGAAGCTACTTGTTACCAGCGGCTTCTTGTTACTACTAGCGTCCTTGTTACTACGTAGTAAGGCACTTGTTACTAGAAGCGATGCCCTTTGCTCCTAGTAGCTTATTGTTTCTACTAGCAGCTTCTTGTTACTTTCTTTTTCTAGCTCGCTCCTCTTTAATGAAACTGCAACTGGTTCGCTTCTAGCCGCACACGCTACATGTTTTTGCGCAGGCTTTTCGCTTCCGAAGAAGCGCGTTCCGCACGAATATTCGAACGTCAAACAACGTTAACGGGAACATCAAAACGATCCAAAAGCACACACGTCCGTTGTGCCGAGATGTGGTCGCCAACGTCGTCGTAGCAAATCAGCGTGGTTCGAGTCCGAGAGTCACATTGGCAAAGGTCAAGGCCTTGATGAGCTCCTGTCCTGAGGATCTGAACCGAGACGAAGGATACGGAAGGTCGACCAGGTCTTGGCGTTCTCTGCGTTCTCTGGAAAAAAAAGGAATAAAGAAAGCAAGATTCTGCAGAAAGACTCAAATCTATGGTCAGTAGGTCTCCCCCTCTAACCTTTAAACTCAGAACATGACAACCTATATTGAAAATACCGAAATACCTTCATAGGTTTAAACTTTAAACACATATCTTGCCAATGTTCAAGAATCCATGTTGGATGCCAAGGGGCTCTTGAACACATGTCAAGTGATGTCAAGTGTTCTCTTCTTCTACACCCTGCCACAAACCTGGTAAGGGCCAGTGCTTCCACCATCCGCTCATCGATTTCGTCATTCCGATGTTTTTCCTTTTCATCCGCTCATCGCCTTGACGCACATGACGCACGCGAAAGCGCAGCAGAATGACCGGAACCGGTGTCTCAAAACATCCCCAAGGGTCTCCGAATCATTTTCTGGGCCCCCCGAAATCCAGGACGACGGAGGACCTCGATCTCCGACCTCGAGGCCCTCGGACGCCGCTCTCGGCCCGAGCATCGTGTGTCTGTGACTTGCTGCGTGAAGAAGTGCCGAGGTGCTTCGAAGGCCCTGAAGCTCAGGTCGCGGACAAGTCGACGGGAAAGCACTGAAAACACCGATTGGCAAACTCAGACTTGAACCAAAAACCGATTTGCTTCATTGATATAGCAATCAAAGTTGAATTTCGGGATTAAATTGCAGCAACATTTGCTTAAGGAACCGGAAAGAATGTGAAACAAGGAGGAGACAAACGAGGAACATCGAGCTCACCCCAACACCGTCCAGCCGGCTCTTCTGGCTAAGTCTGAAGGAAGCTACTAGTAACGTAGCTCCTGGCATTACTAGTACGTAACAAAGGACGCTAACTAGATCTAACTAGTAACAAGGGCATTGCTACTAGTAGTATAGCAGTCAGATCGTAAAGTTCCTTCGACTTCTCCACACTTCGCCTGTGCATTCGATCAGACCATGGACTCATGTCCGAACGCCAGGAGAAGTGGGTGTCGGGCACATGCAGAATCCTCGACGGGACGAGGCACCGTCCGCCGGTCGTCGATCTGCCGGTGCCGATGGCGTCCAGTCCGCCGAACGGAGCAGATCGCGATCGGGGTTGGTTCAGCTGCGATCAGGAAAGCCACCCTCCCTTCAACCTGGAAAAAACCGTATCCCTAAGCTCCCCCCTGAAGTGCCAAACTTGCAACATGTGACAACTATGTTGGGCGGTTGCTTTAGTTTCTAAGAAGAAGAAGAAGAAGAAGAAAACGAAGAAGAACAGCAACAGCACCGATCCCTAAGCATCACAACTGCAGAATCTTCACCTTTAGAGGTGTGCTCACAACATAGCGCAAGTGCTACACATAGTACATGCGGTGGCATCTCAAAAACCGGATGTCTTTCGTTTGCACTATAGACACGGGAGGGGACGGACACCGTTTCAAAATGTAAAGAACGGGCGCCCTGCTTCGTCCTCACGGATTTTGTGGGATGTGTCGACGTGAGACCACCAAGGTACGAGGGAGCCGAGTGAACGGGGAAAGTGATGAAGGGTACAGTGCCAGATCATGTTGTTGCTCTGCGAATCGGCCAAACCTATCAAGGCAGGACAAATGCAGGTCTGTGGAAATGGAGTAGCGCCATGGTAATGAGAACTAATCAAATCCTATGAATCGGTTTTACAATCCCCAAATGCGGGGGCCTTTCCTCATCGAGAGTCATTGATCATAGACTTGCTGGTACGTACGCCGAACCGAATCCCCGGTCAACCAGTCAAAGGCGGTCGCAGCCCTCGCCGTGTACGACCCTGGTCCTGACGACCCTCTCGTGGTGCTCCTGGTCCGGCGCGGACGGACCCGGTCTACAAGGAGCAACACTGTCCCTACGTACGTCCCAAAGCTGATCAGACTGACCTCCTTAAAGTAGAGACATGTGTATGACCACGTCCAATTTTTCTGGTCATTGACCATGGGTACAATTTCACCTGACCTGTCAAACTTCTTTGAACGAAGGATATGTTAGTGCCGAACTTTGGGGGATGCATCACCCACAAGGTACAGGAACTGGTATAGAACTCTCCTAACTGAGTTGAAAAAGGAGACAAAAGACATGTTCCCTGCGCATTGCATCCTGCTGATGGCGTAGAATGTACAACTTGGACCACTTGCTCTAGCTCTGAAGCTTGGGTTGCACAGGAAAGGTGTGGATCCCAGCAATCCCAAAACAAACAAGGCAGCTGAGCAAAGTCAACTAGAACAGAATGCAACCAGCAACCCATTTGCCAGATTTGCAAAAGTGATGACGGTCATTCTGACCAATATCACCTTGGTGAACTTTGCGGCAGGGACCTTGCTACATTGTGCCTATTTCAAGCAGGCCCAGCATGTCTACTTCCACCTCAAAACGAAGTAAAGATGGGGGGAGCTACTGGGGGAGCTCTCTTTCCGAAGCTGTTTCGCCGGACCAAAAGCAATCCCAACCCTTTCAGAACCCTTTCAGAACCTCCAACGCCCTCGCCTTTTCCTTCCGCGAACCGAAAAACAGCACCAGTTTCGGTGTTTCTCACCGCGGTTCCAAGCCTCGGTTGTGTTGACCTCCACCACCTCGACGTCGTACATCAAATGGGACCATCCGCTCTTGCTCATGGCCACGGGCCGCCACCCGGGGGCGTTTTTCTCCAAAACGAGTGCGCAAAACGGGTGACGAATGAAGAGGGGCGAACGCGGCACTCGATGTGAGTGGCCAAGCGTGAGGCCAATGGCGGGGGTAGGGGAACAGGTGTTTCGCCCATGCAGTGAGTGTGGATTGAAACATGTTTCGTCCCAAAGTTGGTTCGTTCGAAGGACTCTCGAAGCTAATTATTCAAGCTACCGTCACGCTAGCAAAACAGGCACAATTGTGAGAACTGGGATGGCTATGCCGTGCTTCCTGGTTTCACACCGTGGCCCTCAGGTGAAAAACCCCTGCTTGCGCTATGCTTTCGCTATGCTTTCGCTGCTTGAGCGTGGCCACATGTCAGGCCCTGGCGTACTCCATGAGCTCGTCAGTTGTTTCCAGACATCCAGTGGATGAGTGTGGGGACACTTGTGGGGACCAACCAGCAAAAAGAGAATCGGACAACCCAAAGTGGGACACATCCAATCTGTCTGTGAATCAGGAGTCCGTTGGCAGGCTGAAGTCTTGAATGCTTTTGAGATCGTTTAAGCTTTTGTCCAGCTGAAGTGCTGCATGTCATGTTCTGTTGAAAAAGAGATCCCAACTGCCCCTGCAAGAAACAGAAAATTCCTGAGCACACCTTGGATGTTGAAGATTCCTTGACTTGAGGTCACAACAACAAGTCGCAACCCCCACATGAACATCACGTGTGCCACAAGTTTTCCATGTTTGGACGTCTTCGTGGCGCTGCTCGTGCAGAGCGTGCCCGGACTCAGTCACGTCTTTGGGGCACACTCCATCACAACAGTTCACAGCTCTTCTGCATTGTGAGACCAACATCCCTGCCGCTCTGCCCATGAACGGCACTGTTTTTCTCCAACCAAACACTGCTCTGCCGGCCCGAGGGCCAGAACCGGCTGCCGGAGCATTCTTACAAAAGGGCTGACCCGGTTTGGTCGGGTTGAGCCGGCGATTGAATCAATGGTGGGCCAGGATATAGGTATTGTTTGTCAATGCGCACGCAAACAACCAACACCCTCCGCTACACTCCGCAGTCACAAGTGCCTCGGCATCAGAGCCTCGCGCTGCCTGCAGGTGTCGCAGGCGCTGCAGTGATGCAGGTGTCAGATGCAAAAAGTAACACAGTGATGGGAGTCTATGGGATGTATCGATGACTTGTAAACAAGTTCAATTAAACAGAAAAATCTGTAAACTAAAGATTGACATCTGTTGAGCAACCAAGAGGCGCTTGAATTGGCAAGTTGGCATTCTGGAATTCGATCATCTTCAACGTATTCAATTTCATCTTCATTTGGCTTTCATTGTGATCAACGCGATCGAACACACCAGTCACACATCGAACGCACCGATCTCTGTACAGTTGGAACCCTCCAAAATCTGGTTCACTAATGAACTGGCAAGCCATCTCGATCCGTTGAACCTTCGGAACGGGGAACATCCCAATCCCCTGTATGAATTAAGGGAAATGATGAAGCTCCAAAAACTGGAGGCCGCCATCGCTACGAAACAAGAAGGCTGTTTGAGTATGTCTTTGAGGCTTCTTAGCACAAGCAGTTCCCGGGCAAGCCGGCGGCGGAAGTTTCCCACAAGAACAATTTGACCCATATAGCTCTGCGTCCGGAGTGTCCCTTCGCACATGCCCTGCGGACCCCCTTTTTTTCCGGCGCGCAACGATGGCGTCATGCAAGCAGCCCACAACGGCGTACTCGCTCTGGCACTGTGCACGCAGTGGCACTGGCACGAATTCCTCTCGCTTCTTCTTTTGCTTTTCATCGGTGGTTCACAGCAACGCACCGAAGTCCAAGAGCACAGCCGATGCGTCATGGACTCGCCACATCCTTTTTCCCCACGCAATGCAAAGAGTCCTGCGCGGTAGCAGCTGTTTATGCGGTTCACACGACGGACATAGGAGCATTTCTGGGCTGTCTGCGCGGTCCACAGTGACGCACGCAGACCGAAAGACCCAGGAACGGTGCACCCAGCACTTCCGGCAGGGGCTGGACGAGGTGGAACAATTGGCGGCGGGGGTGGTTCTCTGCCAGCAATCCAAACCACCGGGGGCTGCAGCACACCTATCGTCATAGCAACGGCAATCTGTGCGCCAGCTTGTGGCATATGCAACCGACCACCGCGTGCCGTTTTGGAAACCATGATCCAGGTCCCAATGAAGTCGCAAGCCTCCTGGTTTCGGAATCGAGTGCATTGCGCTAGCTTAGCAGCCGTTGCGAGATCATCCCTAACCAATCCCAGCAAGCTTTACAGACGCCACTTCTCGTGTGCTCAAAGATGCCTTCTGCAGTGCGCACGCTTGCGTTTTCACACGTAACGCAGTGTGTCGCATCCAAGACAGGCGGCACCCCTAGGTGTTGCTGCAACACATTCTTGAAATTTTGCAACGTTGGATCTTGGAGCACAAAGAAGCCGGGCAAAGCCATGGCAAGACTGAGGCAGTCCACAACGACGTACCACAGGCAATCGCACTCGGTTGATTCGAAGACGTTGGAGTTGTAATCAGTGCCATCATGCTGACTTGTGTGCAATCCAGCCAAGGTAATGCGCCATGTGGCACCTAATCAAATGCATTTTGTACGAGACGTCCTTCCAAAATGCATGTTGAAGACCTGCAAAACGAAGCAATTCTGCAAGACTTCCTCCAAAAATGTAACTGGAAGACACGATCCAACCAGACATGAAAGTGCCATTTACATTGCGGGAACGATCCTGAAGTTGCAAAACACAATGAAATTCCAGCGACAACTCATCCACCAGCAACAGTTGCAGTCACATTTACAGTGCGGAAACCATCCAGGAGTTGCAAAACGCAATGGACTTCCATCAACAGCGCGTACACAAGAAGCCGGTGAAAACTCTAGTTGCAATGGAGGGACGATGCGAACATGATCCGAGCATGGCGCGAGACCATCCCGCAACCGCTTGCCTTGCCAGGTTCGGAGCCACCCTTCGTATTGAAAACGCAACATTTCGTGCATCTGCTATCTCTCCAAAACGCATTTTGTACGAGACTTCCTTCCAACATGCATGTTGAAGAGTGGAGCTAGAGCTAACTAGAGCGAGATCCACCTGGAGCTCAAGCGAACCAGAATGAACCAGAGCTAGAGCTAACTGGAGTTAGAGCTAACTAAATAGCTAGAGCTGACTGGCGCTAAAGCCGACTAGAGAGCTGACTGGAACTAGAGCTAACTAGAGCTAGAGCTGTTGAAAGTCCGTCCCACGGAAGTTTTGCACCCTAAACTTCCTTTGATTAGGGAGATGATGGAGGCCTATGGCCAGGCGAACAACACCACCTCG